AATAAACCAATGATTAGTTTCTTGCTTCCTGATTTCACAACATCTAAAAAGAAAATCCTCTGCAGAAAGAATGCACATGGATAAGATTCTGCATCGAGACAGATTACATGGGATGGGACAGATATGAATACAATGCCAGTTCAGAATCAGGGAGAAGAACTGCTTATATGATAATGACAAGAACCATGAGTAGTTACTCTTCATTAGGAAGCCAATCTGTGCCATCTAACTGATGACAGATTTGCCCATAAGAATGGTTGCAAACCACCTTGGATTTCAAATGCTTGCCTGTGGTCACAAATTATCTGGATGTGAAGAAAAAACTGTTTGGCTGAACAAACTTTGATGTGGCACTTACAGATTTCTGTTGTGAAAACATCTTGAGGGCAATCAAGTGCTATTAACACATGTCAGCGAAGCTTCATATAAATTACTACAAAAATTATAGATAACCACACAGCTTTTCCATCACTGTCCAAATATTCCTGAAAAACAGTTTGCCTATCCATGCAAGCACTACAGAATTGTACAAACCTCGTTTCCTCCCCCTCCCAATTTTTACAGGGACAATAATCACAGAGATGACATGAGACAATTAATTAGATCCATCTGCATGACTGCTTTTAAATAATTAATGTGTTCATTATGAACTTGAATTGATTGGTATACTTTACCTGGAACAAAACATTCAGTATTACACCTGTATTGTACTGAGGCCACTACCTCTGGCTGTGAACGAAAATGATACAGTTTCCTATCCTGGCATTAATCAAGGAGTGTAACATGAATCACATTTGCTCCTTTATTTTAATTGCAAGGACACATTATGAATACAGTGTCTGAAATGTATTTTTAATGAAAAATACTACATCTTGACCTAATCATATCAACCTTATTCTACCTAATTAAGGATGCAAAAATCATTACTGTTGCAAAATATTAGTTTCAGCTCCATCAAGCTGCTAGCCTCTCCTTCATGAATATAAATTTTTTTTCCATGATAAATAGTTAATGAGGTAAAAATGACAAAATTTGCATGTAGGCAAATTAGTTTAATAGGAAGATGACTTGTTTGACTGGAGAAAGTGACCTTATCCCTGGCAAAAAAAAATGGCTAAAACAATTACAAACAGAAGGCATGACTCTTTGTGGCCAAATGAACAATGCTATATCTCAGCCTTGGTGAAAAGACTGAAGCGAAATAAAATTGCATTTTCATCATAATGCCAGAAGTATTTAAATTCTAATATATTTTAGCAGTCTGCTGGCAGCAAATTAAAGCTAAAATGAAACATGTTATGACAATGGGCCATTCACGTCCCCAACATATGATAAGCAAAGTTGCTTTTACCACAGGATTTATTGCCACAGGATTGCATTTATTGTCTAATCAGTGAGCCATCGCCAACCCCCCCAAAAAAGCCTAAAAATATTAGGAAACCCATTGCTAAAGTACCTGTCTTCATAATTTTTACTTTTCTCTTTGAAACAAGCAAATGAGATCATTTAAAAGTCCAAGGAAATTATATTTTGTTTCTTTCGCTACTGTCTGTCAGAAACCTGTACGCATCATAAATGGATCCGATTCAGCTTTTGGAGAGGATACACCATCAGCCCCAGGGAATCTTGGCAAAGTAAAAGACTATGGTTTGGCTTTAATGTGTATCATTTTTGTTTCTTAAAATAAATGCCACAATACTTCAAAGCTGCTCCCTTTCTAATGCAAGTTTAATTTGAATGTGAGCTTGCAGGTCTTTATAAAATCTAAATGTAATTCTTAAATGGCACTATGTAACTATAAATTCATTATTAAACATGTTCATCTGAATGAACTACTGATCTAATTGTTGGACATCTTTCTTTTTCTTACTTGTCTTAGAGAAGCAAGACAGTAACTTCCAAGAATTTCTTTTAGATACTTGTCTTTTTCACTCTTTTCCCCCAGTATGCCTCAAATAAAAGCATCCCAGAGCCAAACTTCTGTCATTCAATTGAAAGGGGACGATCTGGGCCATGCATTGATACACTTTAGCACTGAAGTCTTTCTCTAATCAATTGAAGGTGCACTTACAGTCTATTAACTGCCTCCTGTTCTACAATGGCTCACGTGTCATATTGTGGTTTATGATTCAGCAAATCAAGTGAGGACTGGCAAAATATACTCCTAGACAGCCCACTACCACCTGGGCACACTGAGTGTGCTCTTCAGTTGCTTAATATATGGGCACAAACTGCACAGCAAATGGCTTTAAAGTCTCTGATTGTGTGTATCTCCATATATCAAAGGGCATTTTGAAAGTTGCTCCATGCTTTGATATTTTCCATATGGACATCTGCAATTTATAAGTTGGCTTATTGTCAGGGTGAGAGAAAATCTCAATTTTCTAAAAGTTAAAAAGCATTGCAGCTACAGAAATAATGTGGTGAATCATTTAATGCGTAACTTATTTCTGTGTAAAATGTAGTCACTAATAGCTTCTAAATCACTCCAGAAGCACCCTTTTGAAAATATGCATTTTGTTCTTCTTTCACTTTGAATTCTAATCTTGCTTTTAACATCCTCCAGTGCATTTTCTTCTATTTTATTCAATCCACCTTCAAGGAGAGTTATTTTCTCTGCTAAATCAGCACATGTCATATCAAATGATGAGATCAGATTTGTAAAGGCTCCCCTCTTGAAACCTGCCGGTTACAGAGGCACCTTGTATAATTCACAACTCACTGTTACTGAAAGTAAGGCACATAGGAGTCACTGGCATATGGAAAGAATAGTACTATTATGCAGTGAGGCAGCAAAAAAGCAGAAACATGCAGCCTTGAAGAAGGTATCACATTACAGCCTGACAGACCAGAGTGGTGATGGGGGAACATTATTCGTTAAGGAAGAAGAGGGATTGATTAAAAAAGCAAATTACTTTGCTCATGCTGCCAAAAAAAGAACAGGGTTATTAATGGAGGTCCAAGATTATTGGCGAGGTTACTGCTACCATTCACTAATTCTGAAACACTGCATTACTTCATTCGTACATAAAGTTAACAGGGATTATGATACAGGCTTTAAGATGCATGATCACTGAATTGGTGGGTATTAAACTGACGATCATTTTACATTGTCATAATTTTGGTACTTTTCATAATTAAAAGTTAATGGTGACTACATGCATATTCTGTATATTAGCATCAGACCTTGTATTTGTCAAACGGTTTTCGCACAAATTTGATTTTAAACAGTTATAGTGATAAAATATATTCATCCGTGTATAATGAAAAACATACACTCTTCATGTACATTGTCAACACAGCATAAACAAATTGTTGACAAAATTTTGCAAACTCAAAACCATAACCAGAAAATGGAGGATAAACATAGATAAACTCAGCATCAATCAAATTTCCAGAATTAAAATTCCTTTCATTCCTTCTGTACATTTCAAACAAGGACCAAACTTTAATTTATCATAAATATAAATCTGGTTGTAACTCAATTATTTTCTCCATGAACCAGGGTTCTGGTTTGATTATGGGGTTTAATTGGATGCTGTATATTAAACTGCAACATTAGATAGAAATTTGGCTGATGCTACACAGTTTTGCAAAGTATAGACCATCTGCATCTCAAAGAATAAGACGCAATAACATTGTGAGATGATGTCACTGATTAACAAAAAATATTATTATTAAAACAAAATCAGAAAAATAGTATCTGAGCTGTTAAGTAAGATTTTGAGCTATTACTGATGAGGCCATTTAGAAGTGAATGGCTTCCTCTTGTGTTGAGTTTTTCATGATTCCACCACCTTCAAAAGCAGCATGGTCTCTTGACTCTTTTATAAAACTGTGCGTTGAAATTGTTCCCTATGTTATTAGTAACAAAAAATGTGACATTGATTCCACTTTAAGTAGTAAGGCCTGGATGTATACAACCTTTCATAACCTCAGGACATTCCAAAATGCTTTACAGCTCATCAAGCACTTTTGTAGTGAATGTTGCAATATAGGAAACATTAAAAGAGTTATAAACCTTGATTAAACTGCAATCAGAGGAATTTCATTTGAACATATTTGTCACTAAAATGGCACAGAATGATTTCATAATTGAAATGACAGCATGAATTAACTTCTTGAATATTTTACCTGCAGTCCTATCTTAGTCATCCACTGTCATAATCTTTGTTCTGGATTTTCTATAATAAAGTTCCCCTGAATAATGGTGAATTAAATGGAAGATAGTAGAGTTTGGGCCTGCTAAATTTTCATTAACCTTCTCCAAAGATATTATCAGTGGTCATTACAGTGAGGAGCTGGAGGAACACAGCAGGTCAGGCAGCATCAGAGGAGTAGGAAAGTCGACATTTTGGGCCTAGACCCTTCATCAGGGTCCCCCAGAGAGCCATGTCCAGTTCCAGGCCTTGTAGCCAAGAGAGTTGGTCAACAAAACTCCTTCACAGGTACTATTGAGGCTACAGGTCTAAGCACACCCTCTCTTTCAGCAATCTGGTCTGAGCACCCACTTCAGTGTAGCTGCTGACTTAATAACCTATGGCCTGACTGTCGAGGAGTGCTGTCTTGTCAGTGAGTACAGTGTGTTTTCAATGGAAGAACTTGTACAGTGCAGCCAGCTTTGCGTTCGACATGTGCCCCATGTTAAATGTTTTCAAAGCCGGCGGATTTCAGCTGAGATTCACAATAGAATGAGTCGAGGGATGTCTAGACTCTGGCATTGATATTCACCTCTCCAGCTAGATGCCCTGTGGTTTATTCTTTGGTGAGTTTCTATCTAATAGCTGGAGGTATAGGTGGGGTGTTGTGATGTTGTGAAGTTGCAAATTCATTCTAATACCTGTACTAGCATAATGGAGAGATATGTTCCTGGGGTATGTTGACTACCTGATGAATTTAGATTGGGGGGGGCAGGTATCTGCATTATTCTCTGATGAAAAGTCCATTTTACTGTTAAGTTTCAATAAGATAATGTGATTCCCATTGGTATGTTCACGTACCTTCCTTCTTTCACCATTGATCGCCCTCCATTGCTCCGCCTTTTTGATGATGTAGTTCAGCTCTTGATTTGACAGCTCCAAATCCAGAGGAACAAAAAATCTCCCCTCAGCGCTGTGCAGTCGGTAGAAGACATCTAGAAGCCTCCCTCTATTGTGCAGCCTTCAGAGTGGTGAAAATATGTTCAAGATTATTAACCTAACTGCTTTGTATTTAATATTATTCTCTCTAACAAGCTGAGCCCAGTTTCAACACTCAACTCTGCATTCAGCAGATCAATGGCCCGAGAGCTGGACAATATTTAAAATGCAAGGAAAGAATTCTATTCAGCTAAAGTTATTTTCACGATGTGCTCGTGACAGCCCAGCTGGAATGAGTATCGTTTTGCTTTTAAAGTGTGACTATGAAATCAATGCAATGTTTAAAACTGTGTACTGTACCTCTTTAATATGTAATTAAAATGAGGATAGCAGCACAGCCCATCTATGCATAGCCCCCGAGGCATTTTTTTTTAGAAATAGGTCATACAGTATGTCACAAGTTCTACCAACAGCCAATAAGAAACAGCAGCATTTGAAGCCAAGACGCTTCAGTGGCCTACATTTGTAACAATTCGCTGCACTGTGAGTGGCAGAAACCATTATTTTTGGCTCATGTTTTAATATTGGTCACTTAGTTAAAGCAGATATTATGCAGCAACGGTGTGATATTGATATTAATGGGAAAATGACTGGCTTCAGCTGTAATGCCAGAGACCTGATATTAAAAGAAACATTCATTCAAACATTGAAGCTCAGAAGTATTCTGTACCTCATCTGGATGTTTTAAGATGCATGATTTTGTAAATTTTATTTTGTGTGGTGTTTATTAATCTTATGGATGTGTCAACCTGCTTGTCCCACTGCTTGCTGAGAGTTAAAGACTTTATCCTGGAACTCATTCTTAATTAAGATGTTGTTAAGTTATTTTAGGAAACCATTTTTGAAGTAAGCCAGTGAATATGGGGATCAAAAATGACTAATGCCCAACTGCATTAATTTTTCCATTATGTTGCTTTTATAGTTGTTAATAAGTGATTGCACACTTAATCAAAGGACACAAATATTTACTTAAAAGCTGTAAATATATATATATATAAATATGTATGTATGTACACTCCATTTCCACAGCAAGCATAACCCCTCACTATCCTCACAGCAAGAAATCTGCTTGTGACCCTTTATTTGCTTTAACTTATTGCATGTTGGCTCAGTATCAGAAAGAAGTGGGACTCAAAAAGAGAAATATTAATTCCTGAATTAAATGATCTCTTAAGAAAAAGTTTGGTATCGTGGAATTGAAAGTTAATAATCAGTGAAATAATATAGCATCTGGGCTATAATTATGGTCCAGAATAACCTTTTTTTTGTTATGCTTAATGCACTTATATGACTTCTGCACAATGATTTAGTTGTCATCGTTAGTTGCAAACCAATAATTGTCAGTGTCTGGACACTTGGTTAAAAGGACAGCTTTGGACGCAGAGAAAATCTTTCAAAATAGATGATATCTGAATGGGAAGAATGGCTTTTCATGGGTACTTAAAATTTGTGAGCAACGTGTCAGCTTGAATGACGCTGTTAATTGCACAGTACCTCCCCACCAACCCCAGTACCAACCCCCCAACCCCACCCATTGCCACCAGTGGGGAGGAGTTATTGGTAAGCTTGGATGGACACACTGAGGTCTGATAAACTCTGAGATCGATCATTTCCCTCTGCTTATTAAGAACTTCAAAGCTGTCAAAGCATTTTTTGCCTCTTGTAGATTCTTGGGAGTACAGAAGCATCAGCTCATGTAAATGGCGTTGGCAAGTAGGGGCGCATGTGAATACTACAGATAAATGTAATTGCAAGCAACACACAATAATAGAATTGCACATTTAATAGTCATATGCAGTTGCCCAAAGTTGAATTCCTAGCAGAAATCTGTTTCGAGTGCTACACGTGGCATAAATCAGAATACAGTGAGTCATTAGCAGAATAGAAGTCACTAACTCCGTGATGACTACTATATGGACAAGATGTGTCAAATCCCCTATCCCTAAGCTTTAAAATTTAAGAACTATTTTGGCTGCTCTTAGTTATTGTGAATCTCAAACGACAGCTCAAAACTTGAGTGTTGCACCAGTATTTATGTTTGCAGACCTTCTGGAACTGGTGTTAAAGACCATCAGAAATCACCGAAGGTGATGGCAGTCATGACTTGTGTGCCTTTGCTGCCAATGAAAGGATTTTCATAATCTCTCAGAAACAGAGTCATAGCCTTTCTGCACATTTGCTCCTTGCAGTAATGTAGAGGTAGGGACTGATAACAATGGTAATAACAAATTAAATAAAGAAAAGGATTTTAAAATGAATCTTTAAATTGGGTCATCCAGTTCTTTCTGCACAGAATTGAACAAGTTTGGACATTTTAACAGTGGCACACTTTACAATTGTGAACATCATACATAAGACCCCAGCAATGTCCAGGCCAACATTTTTTACTCAACCACCATTGATAAAAATATGATCTCATTGCACTTTGTGGGTATTTGCTGTGTACAAACTGGTCGCTGCACTTCCTACATTGCAACTTGTGACTACAATTCAAAAGTACTTTAATGGCTGTGCTTTAAGTGCTTTTGGATATTATGCGGTCATGAAAGGTGCTAGAAAGATGCATTCATGCTTTCAATGCAAGGTTAACAACAGCCATGGTGACACTAATAAAGGCCAAGGGAAGTCTTAACTCACCCTTCATAGTTGGAGTATATATTTTTTAACACTACCAACACAGAAACTGGGAAATTCTACATTTTTCCTTGACTCTAATCTCACATTTACCTGTGAAGCGCCTCTGGCTAAAGGGACTAACTAGGGACTTGTAAAGCTCTGCACTTCTTACTTATATTTACAGGCCAGAAGCAACTGGCTAGAAAGAAAAGCTAGAGAGCTGAGTGATTTGCAATTGCTTGTTCACAAGTAGACAACCACTAACTATGTTAATAACAACACAGACATATGGGCCTGTGAATCCATACCTAATGGACTAAATTAGTTGGACACTCCTGGGGAAACACACGCAATTTAGCAACACAAATGACATAAAACCGCCTTACTGTGTCATTTACTGAGTAACTGGGGATAGAAAGGGCTGAAATGCCAAACTTACAATGAGAATGCGGAGCAGTTCAGTGAAATACAAAGAGGTTGGTGAGCATACCAGTCTGACTGGATAAATGATAGGAACTAATAGTGTTGAACTTTGTTTTAGAATAATTCAGCCACATTGCACTTATATTTTTTTCTTTATTATTGTTCAAATAAGAAATGTTAAAATAGATACTTTTTTTTTGCCCTGCCTGGACAATTCAGTTACTTATTCTTTTGGTGTTGGTGTGGAATTTATTTAGTCCAAATAAGTATTTACAAACTTTCCCCGCATTGAGTCGTTACCATAGGATTAAGAGAGAAACAACTACAGAAAAGGATTGAGCAAGTTGGAGCCTTTTTGCAGAAGTAGTTAGATGGGCAGCAAGTAATCTTTTTGCAGAAATAATTAGATGGGCAGCAAGACGAAGGCGTTTCGCACGAGACGGGGTTGCCAATTTAACAGCATTGTCCTGCAGTCTCCTGGAATTAAAGATTCATCAACTGGACACTATGAACAGAACCAAGATTAACAATAATAGGTACATTTGAAAAGAAAATTTTTTGATTTTCTTTCAGCATCTTTGTTTATTTCTCAGAAAATATCAGAGATTGTTTGGAGCAGAGAGAGAGGGGAAAGCTGTTTGACTGGGGTGGGATGGGGTGGATAGAGTTGAGGGTTCATAATATGAAATCTCTAGCAATGCATTCAACTGAAGTTGGCAATCATGCAGTGATGAAAGGGAGGTTGACGTATGTCCTGCTCTCTACAGTGAGGGAAATGAAGACCATACTACTGCCTTCTACAACCCTAATCCCACCTTTCACACAGCAATTCTGGAGGCATAAAGGAGGCAAATCTTCCAGGGTCCCAGGTCTACCCTGCGACCACCATTTGCATCTACTCTGGGCGGTTTGGAGCGGGTAGGCGATCCTGGCAGAGTAATCAGTGGAGTGGAGGAAGAGTGTCAGAGGAGGCTTCGGGGGGACGATGTTTAGATGAGGCTGGGGAGGGGAGTGGGGGAGAAATAAGTGTGATCCCAGTCACAGATACAGTAGTTTTGATTCTCCAAATTTTCTCCCATTCCCCACTGGAATCCTGACCCATTTTAAAAAGGATCACAGAAGAGACCCATTTTCATGATCTTTAAATAGCTGAAAGTACAGTCTAAATCTTTCTCTGGAAGATACAAAAAATGTACTTTTAGTGGAAAATTCAATAAATTATACGCTTAATAAATTTAGTGTAAAATACAGGGTGAAATCTTAATCTCGATTTAAAATCCCATTTAATTTCTGCTTGCCAAAATCCATGACAAGCCCCTTTAAAGTTAGAAAATCAGCAATGGGAAAGGAGATGGCTTTACTCACAAACATGACACAGTCATCAATTGTAAGTAGCCACGGGAAACTGAGAGATCGACCAGTGGTGGGTCTGGCAAGCTGCAGGAGGTATCAATTGTCAGAGGCACAGCTCACAGGATTGGGGTGGAGGAGAGAGGGGATGTCTGAGGTGCATTAAACCATCAATCATAGGCAGTGCAGGTAGCCATGGGAGACATCGATCATGGGAAAACTGAGGCTGAACCACCAAGCAGGCGATAAAGTCTTCTAGACTGAAGCAGTAGAGTTGTGAAAATATGGAATGCCAGATTGATTTAAATTTTAAAAGAAAACTTGTTAATGCTGTAGTGGTGCCAATCAAAAGTGAGGCATTCAAAGGAATTAATATCTGCATCAAAAACACATTTTGGGAAATTAGGGGTCTGAACGCTGAGAAATCCGCAGGACCTGATGGCCTATTTCCTGGAACACTAAAAAAATACAGTGACAGAGATAATCACTGTGCTGATTATGTTTTCCAGAAGTCCCTTGATCCTAAAATGGATTGGAAGTTAGCAAATATTGGATTGCTATTCAAGAAAGGAGCGAGAAAGCAGAGAACTACAAGCCAGTTAGCCTGACATGAGTCATCCAGAAAATGTTGGGACTATACCTAAGGACATCCATGCCTTCTGAACATTACAGTATGGCCAGATAGGATCAACATTGTATTGGAAAAGACAAACAGGTTTGACAAATTTGTTTGGAGTATTTTCGAGGACATAAATCACAGGGTAAACAAAAGAGGAAACAGTGGATGTAGTATACTTGGACGTCTAAAGACATTTAGTAAATTGTTACATAAAGACAATGCAAGATAGGGTTCGTACGTTTGGGGTAATATATTAGCAGGTACGTAGGAATCATCAACAGATGGAAAGCAGAGAGTTGGGATAACAGGGCAATTTCTATTTACCAGGATGTAACTAGCAGAGTATGACTGGTATCAGTGACAGAGCCTCAATCATTTATAATCTACATTAGTAACAAGGAGTAGTTATGGAGAATAGAATAGATACTTTTAAGCGGAAGCTAGATTGTTATAGAGTGGAAAAGGAGCACAACGACAACCTAGACAATGTTTAATGGAGTCAGTGGGGCTCTTGCCTGCTGACTGGAGAGCTAGGGAGATATCTTCAGTGCCGCTTTTCAGGAAGGTCCATTGCATTAAGTATCAACCTGGCACTGAACTGGGCAGCAGTAACCTTTCCTTGCGGTTGAGAACTCCAGGGACAGAAATTCAGGTCTGCCAAGAGTAGCCAGCCAATCAAAGCCTGAAGTTCTTTATGCCTGGCAGCATCATTAGGGTAGTGGTGCCTGCTGCCAGTCATAAAACCACCAAAGACCTTGGCTCGCTAATGAATCCAGGCTACAGCAGTGTGATGACAAGAGGGCTCTCACAGAGGTGGGGGAATTAGGAGGTTAGCAGCAAGGGCAAGGGAGTATCTCTCAACTGCCTAACCCCAATGCTCAATGCCAGGTCCCAACTGAACACCTTTGAAAGAGGGTCCTCCCAGATAAGGTTTGCTTCTTATGGCTACACATGACAAATCCCTCCACTCACTGCTCATTGATTTGCAGCGATAGCAACATAAGGCCCTTAAATGGGATGCAATTGTCCACTCATCATTTAGTGCTGCAGTAAGGATGCCATCCAGGGTTTCCATTCACTACCCTTTCACTCCATTCAATGTCCCCGACATCAATTCTGCTACAAGGGAGGGCATTCCAATCTCCCCACAGATAGACTTAGATGAAACAGAAGGGGAAGAAGTACAAGTGGAGCATAAATATCTGCAGTGAGTAGTTGGACTAGATGTCCTATTTCTGTGCTGTAAATTCAACATAACAAGGAACAAAATGAAAATACTGGTAGGAAGATAGGAGAGGCACAATGGAGGCAGAATGTTAAACAGAAGCCATAAAGTACCAGCTTGATAGGCCAGGCAGCTTTTCAGCTCAAAGCAGTGCAAAGTACTTTGACAGATTTCTCCCCTCACATGTGAACCCAACCTTCTGTTGAAGTACAGACAGCAGAAATATCAGCGTATGTTGATACATTAGCAAATTATACGTGCCTACTAAGGGAGCTTAAAAAGACTTTGACAGACATGAATGTTTGCATAAAGTTCAACACAATGTTGTCCAGTAAATAACATCACAAGTTCCTGGGATTCCAGGAAACTCTTCAACTTATTTTCCCACCTATGTATTCCCACCACATCTAAGCAACTTGGAGAAGGAAACCGAAATGAGTCAAGTACAATTAAATAGCCTTAAACCTCCACCTCTTTAAAAAAAAACTTGAAAAGTTATAGAGGTATTCTTACCTTAAGATATAGAAACACAGTATTGCAAGGGAGCTAACGAACATCACAATATACAAGATGACTGTAATAAGTATGCCAGGGATCCCAGAATGTTGCACTCTGTAAAACAGCCAGTAAAGCTTGGCTGCGTCTGCTATTGGACTATCTGTGCTGTAAGCCAGGCGCTGAAAAGCAAGATATACCAATCAGTGCTTCACAAAACAATTTCTGTGTGCTTTTCAGTTCACAGCTAGTCACTGGCACATCAACCATTGTACAGGTTCAGTGGATAGTATTACAATCCAGAAATTTCTGCTTAATTATGCAGTTAGTTACACACAAAGCTGTTACTGGAAAAGTGTTAACTTATAGAAATTTGCAGGCAGCATCTGTACTTCTGCCCCATTTTTACACAGATGATAAAATGTAAAACAAAATATGTTACTTTCTCATGCCATACAATGAATATTTTCCATTTGCTTATTATGCAATGGGAAATAAAATTGTTTCCGTCATATTTTAGGCCTCAAAACGGTCAATGCATGGACTCAATTATGAGACAAAAGTAAGGTCTCAAATTAATCCCGCGTCTCATTTGAAAGGTGTAGGTGGTGCATTAGCTTGACTTGTAGTGTTGATTGGCATTTTGTCTCATGGGAAATCAGTATCCCTGATAATATTTAAAAGTGGCTTGAATGTCTTAAAAGTGGGATGATACGTTGGCTACAGACACCAGGAATTCAAAATTCTGAAAATGGCAGATAGAGAAGAAACTGCAAAAACCTTTGTCATCTCAGATGCTGCCTTAAAGTTATTTTGAGAGGAGTACAGCAGGACAAGGGCTATTTTCTTACTATGGAAATGGAAGGAAACTTTCTTGGCTCACTGGTCAACATTAGTGGACACAACAGTAGGATGAATGAAACCAGAAGCACTGCATCTAGGACCTGTCTGCAGTGCATGGCCAACCTGACAACAACTGCTGAAATAAGAGCTATAATTCATTTCTGTTTAGTCACATGTTACCTGTAGCCCTTATACTCATGATGCTTTCGCAATTTCCATTCCTGTTCTCCAATCATAAGAAAGTACTTCACTCATATATTCTTTTGCTGAGGTGCAACCTCAATGAAAGTGGCACTATCTCCATGGAAGGGGCAAGTGCTGTGCTGCCTTGGACAACAGCCTGCCTGATACCTTACTGAAACTGACAGCATTAACGATGCCAGTCAAATAGCCATCCTGCCTTACCAATGCTCAGATGCTGTGGTCCATAGCCGTATCAAATGTGTAAAGCACCTCAAGGTTATCCACCAATTGGACAGCACGGTGGCTCAGTGGTTAGCACTGCTGCCTCACAGCACCAGGGACCCGGGTTCATTTCCAGCCTCGGGTGACTGTCTGCATAGAGTTTGCACGTTCGCCCTGCGTTTGTGTAGGTGTTCTCTGGTTTCCTCCCACAGTCCAAAGATGTGCAGGTTAGGTGGATTGGCTGTCCTATAGTGTCCAAGGATGTGTAGGTTAGGTGGATTAGCCATGGGAAATGCAGGGTTACAGGGTGAGGTGGGTGAGTCTGAGTGGGATGCTCTCCAGACGGTTGGTGTAGACTTGTTGGGTTGAATGGCCTGTCTCCACAGTGTAGGGATTCAATGAAGAAGCGTGGCCATCACAAGTACCTTGAATGGAATTTCACCAGTCTTCCACTTCTCAAACTAATGTCAGTGGGGAATAGTTTCATAGGGGCATTTGAACTGACATAGGAAACAAGGGGAGCAATAGGGGCTTGCAAAAGGATGGCTTTTTATTTCCGTTTGATCACAGAATCAGAGACTTGTTACAGGACAAAAGGAGGCCAATTGACCTGTCATCTCTGCACCAGCTCTCAATTTACCTGCTGCTATTCCTCTATTTTTCCCCTTAATTCTGCACTTTCTTCTTTTCAAGGTAATAGCCTAATTTCCTTTTGAATGCCTTGATTAAAGGTGCCTCCACCCACACACTCAGGTAATGCATTCCAGATCCTAACCACTCAGATGAAAAAAGATTTTCCTCATTTTGCTTCTGTTTCTTTTGCCAATTACTTTAATCTGTGCCGTGGTCTTCGTGATCATTTCACAAGTCTCCTTATTACTATTCCTCCTTATCTACTCTGCCCAGACTTCTTACTATTTTGAATACCTCTATCAAATCCCAGCTCAGAAGATTTTCCTCCACACAAAACAGTGCTGACTTCTCAAACCTATCTTTACAACTGAGATTTCTCGTCCCTGCTTGTGAATCTTTTCACTCTTGCCCATGTCTTCACATATTTTACAAAGGGCAGGGTTCCCAGAACTGGACGCAGTACACCAGCTGAGGCCAAACTACCATCTTGCTTTAGGTTCAATGGATGCATTTGTCAAATTAGGAATGATTAAGCCCATTTATGCTGTACAGATTTAGTCTTACAAACATTTGGTCTATTGGTTTGAATATTATAAGTGATGTAAAAGCAACACCTATGACATTGTAGTGTTTGAGGTCATTCAGATGATGGTTGTAAAAAGTGGAAGTGGTGGCCAGAGGGGTAGTCAGCAAATTGAGATTTTAAAGAGAATTGCTCTTCAATAATGTGCTGCCTTACAGCTCTGGCTGAGCCTCACTCTTCCTCATCGTCCTCTATTTCCTTGTTTCCTTCTTGATGTTCCTCCTCCTCCTCTGCTTGTCCCTTTGCATTGTGAAGTTGTACAACATGTAGAAAATGCCCAACTCTTGACATTCACCCAGGATAAAATGAAATAAACCTCCATATCTGTTTTTTGTACAGTTCCAATAATCCAGTCTATTTCAACTCCGGATCTTGCATGGATCTCATCACACTGATGTCCCACTGTTGTGCCCAGGTTTTGAAAAGATCCAAATTCAGTCACAGCAATAGTACATAGTGTGCATCCCGGTTTAGGCCAGGGTGGTGCAGTAGTTGGTGTGTTTTGAAGTATATGAGAGTAGGAAGGAAGAGGAGCGTAATATCTTTTCAGAAATATCCCCAGTGACAAAAAGCATGCTCCATACTTTATACCCCCACTTCCTTCCCACGCTTTCATACATTTAAAAATAAAGGGTTGCCTACATCTGATACCAGAAATTTCAAAGATAGGGAGAAGTTTTTATAATAAACTTACTTGAAGTAGAGCAAAAAATCAGTGAATGAAGTATTAAAAACAGGAAGAAATGAGAATATCTACAGACCAAATCTTTAAGGATCCTTAACTGAGAAAGAATGCTCAATTCAGTTCCTGTCAATTGTGAACAATCTGAGTACCTTCTGCTGCTTAAATCACGTGGCATTCTCTCTGTCTCAAGAACAGGATGACAGTGCTGTTGTTGGTTCCAATATACTCTTCCACCTTGGCGAATGGCACTCGCCAATC